TTCCTCTCTGGCCTTCCTTCCTTCCTTCCTTCCTTCCTTCCTTCCTTCCTTCCTTCCTTCCTCCTTCCATCCCCTTTAATCTTCCTTCCTCTCTGGCCTTCCTTCTTTCCTCTTCCTTCCTCCCTTCCTTCCTTCCTTCCTCCTTCCATCCCCTTTAATCTTCCTTCCTCTCTGGCCTTCCTTCTTTCCTCTTCCTTCCTCCCTCCTTCCCTCCTTCCCTCCCTCCCCACTTTATATTATATATTAGCCTCCATTTGCAGCTTTGAGATGGCAAATCGAAAGCTCTAATTTTTCTTTCAAAAAAAGAGAGAGAGAGAGAGAGAATAGTTTTCATTTGTGGTTTGCAGGCGAAGAGGTTGTCTGAATGGGTCAGTCCCTTTCTTTCTTCCTTCCTTCCTTCCTTCCTTCCTTCCTTTCTTTCTTTCTTTCTTTCTTTTCCCTTTTTAGTTTTCGGTTATTTTTAAGCCAAGGGGAATATTTTAACAACGCCCTCCGGATTTATTTAGGCCCTGGTATATTGGTACCAATGCTGCACGTTTTTACATCCCTTACTCAATTATGCCCCTTCCCTTAAGAATATATGTATACACACAGACGTATATATGTATATGTATAAATATCTTTCCTGCTAGCAAGCTTATACAGCTGCTTCCATCCCCTCCATTGGAAAAAATGTCTTGGGTAACTCCCACTTTAGCTGAAAAGCAACAACCACGCAAACACACACACACACACACACACACACACACCAAAATTAGTTTTGACAAATGACAGAGGTCACAGGTGCCCCGTGCGAGTCCAAATTACAGCTGCAAAGCTCTCTCGCGTCTTCGGATTGTGTCGCTCTGCTGCTACGGTGCCTCTATTTATAACCGTTTAAATAGCAGTTGCCTTCATCTCCGGCTTGAAGTGAAAAGGCCATTCGGCAGCCTCTGTGTCAGGGCACCAAAGCCCCCAAGTAGGGTGGTATAAATAGAAACCTCCTTGCTTTCGCTTCTCTCTCCCTCTCTTTCTCTCTCTCTCTCTCTTTTTTCTCATTCTCTCTTTCTCTCTCGCTTGCTCTCATTTTTCTCTCTCTCATTCTCTTCCTCTCTCTTTTCTGTCTCTCTCCCTCCCCCTCTCTTCTCCCTCTCTCTTTTTCTCTCTCTTTCTCTCTCCCCTGCTCTCATTTTTTCTCTCTCTCTCATTCTCTTCCTCTCTCTTTTCTTCTCTGTCTCTCTCCCTCGTCCTCTCTTCTCCCTCTCTCTTTTTCTCTCTCTTTCTCTCTCCCCTGCTCTCATTTTTTCTCTCTATCATTCTCTTCCTCTCTCTTTTCTTCTCTGTCTCTCTCCCTCCCACTCTCTTCTCCCTCTCTCTTTTTCTCTCTCTCTTTCTCTCTCCCCGGCTCTCTTTTTTTTCTTTCTGTTGCTCTCATTTTCTCTTTTTCTCTCTCTCTTTCTGCCTCTCTTTTTCCTCTCCGCCTTGCTCACTCTATGTCTCTCTCTCTCTCTCCTTTAGTCTCTCTTTGTTTCTCTCTTTCTGTCTCTCTCTCTCTTTTTCTCATTGTCTTTCTCTTTCCCTTGCTCTCATTTTGCTCTCTCTCTTTCATTCTCTTCCTCTCTCTTTTCTTTTCTGTCTCTCTCCCTCCCCCTCTCTTCTCCCTCTCTCTTTTTCACTTTCTCTCTCCCTGGCTCTCATTTTTTTTCTTTCTGTTGCTCTCATCTTTTCTTTTTCTCTCTCTCTTTCTGCCTCTCTTTTTCCCCTCTCTCTTTCTGTCTTTTTTTCCTCTCTCTCCGCCTTGCTCGCTCTCTGTCTCTCTCTCTCCTTTATTCTCTCTCTCTCTTTCTTTCTCTCTTTCTGTCTCTCTCTCTCTCTCTCTTTTCCTCTCTGTCCCTTGTTCTCCCTCTCTCCCTTTCTCTCTTTCTCCCTCTTGCTCACTCTCTCTCTCTCTCTCTCTCTCCTCCGTTGCTTTCAGTTTTGTAACACAAATGCCAAAGCTTTTCTTTCTGCGTGTATATTGTGGATGAACATTGATAAACAGAGGAGACAAATTCTGTGGTTTTGTGGTTTTTACTG